TTCTCTAGGAAGGTAAAATTGTAGGCAAGAATTAATTTTTTTCAAAATGTAAAAATGTGTAAGGTTGGAAAAGTAGTAATTAAATTTGATGTTATTGTATAATATAATAACAATAATTGTATTTTTTTTTACTAGGGAAATAAGATTTCGGAGAAAAAATAATAATTATTTTTTTTAATGTGGAATGATGTAAGGTAAAAATGTATACTATTTGTATTATTTATTTTTTTTTTTTACTGAAAAAGAACTTATCATTAAGAGATCAAGATATAAAGTCATAACAATAAAGATTTTTAAACCAACGAAGAAAAACATCCGCCTTCCATAAGAACGAGGAGTTTGAAAAAAAAAAAAAAAAACAAATTTAGAAATGTCGCAAAAAACAAATTTAGAAATAGCATGAGCGACGTTATTTGCCAAGGGACTTATAAGATGTAGTCCACTAGACACTACCGCCAACAAAGAGTGAAATAAATAGAGGGGCTTGGTGCAACACTCCACATTTTTCCAATCCTTCATTAATTGCCAAGAGCTCAGTGAATAACAGAACTGGATTCGTGACTGACATACCAAAAGAAAAAAGTGCGTAACCTTGATCGTCGCCAGAAATACCACCAATCCCAAATCTACCAGCTTTCATATTAACACTTAAGTCAACATCGAGGCGAATTGAATGTTTGGGAGGTGGACTCCAAATGTGGAGAGCTTGACGACCTTCAGTACACGGAGTGACCATCGAACCACCAGTGGAAAGTTGGAAGTTACGCTTCAAGTCAACTCCAGCCACGCATTTGAGATCTTCATTAATATTGGGGCCATGAATTACTCTTTGCCTCTCTTTCCAAATTAACTAAGCAAACAATGCAAAATTTTCAAATTCAATAGTTGACAGGCTTTTTTCCATCCAAAGGCATAAGTCCATAGTAGAACTGTATTTGGCCTTTTTAATTGAGGATAATAGTTATTAGTTTTCCAAAGGTGCACCACCGGGGGACATAAAAAATAGAATGAAAGGTTGGATCGAGAGGGGAGTTGCACAACTTAGAGACGCTAGACGAAGTGATATGATGTTTAGCTAAATTTAAAATCGAAGGAATAAAATCTTTCGTTAAATGCCACTGTTGACGATCGAAATTGGTACAGTTAATAAAAAGTTAAAGAATGATTAAACAAGTAAACGAAAAAGGATTTACAGAGTAAATGGGCTTTATACTTAATTACGAGTTCGGCCTTTGATGCTGAGGTCGACTCTTTTGATACACTTGGGAATAATCAAGGGAACTTATTACAATATTAATAGAGTAAATGTAGAGAGAGTAATAATTGGTGGAGGGATCAACAACACTTAATAAATGAGGGTGTAGTTCTATTTATAGTTGTCCTATTCTGGCACTGTTCAGGTACTATTCATCTTGTCTCGTCGCACAGTGTTTTGGAGTGACAGGCCGGCGCCGCCCTAACAAACATTAAATGAGGACTGAGGTTTTTTCAATGATTATCTGTCAGGCATTAAATATTCCACATGTGTGCACTTATTGCTGAAAGACCTTACTGCTGGGCTAGATGCCCTAGGGGGACAGACTAGGGTGGCATGTCCCATCGACAATTATTACATGACAATTGGCGATATTTTATTATTTCCAGGTCATGTATTCATGCAAGAGCTGGCCTTGTGGAATCTTCAGATGTGACCTTCGTATATACTCCTTCCTCTAGTCTCTAGGGTCCCTATTCCCTAATCGGCGTTCGTGGAGATCGGCATCGCCACTTGGAGTGTCGCTCTCGAGAATTGTACTATTCACCATTCTCGTCAACTTTGTTCCTCGGTCAGCTTGGCTTCTCGGGATAACTCGAATGTCTGTTCGGTTTTTAAGGACTTGGTCGTCCCTTTCATTGTTTTTGATTTGTGAGTCTTGAATAGCCCAACTCGGATATTAACAGCCACCAAAAAGTTGAACCTTTAACGCAATGTTTAAGGCCCACAGGAATTTCCACCACTGCCGGATCCAGTTATAAGATTGGTTTGCAGGAGGATCGAAAAACCTCGATTCAACTTTGTAGCTCTCTTTAACTAAGTAATTCCATTTTCCGCCAGAACACCAATACCGATCATCCTTATTAGAGGAGTTCAGAAGATTAATTTGCAAGATTTCTTTAGCAATAAAAGGTGGGAATAGATTAACAATGAAATTCTCGTTCCATTCATCTTCACAAATGAGGTCATGAACCTTACTAACCAATGATAAATTGTGTTGGACAAAAGAAAAGAACCTGTGTAGAGAAGGAAGCCAAATATCCTGGAAGATATTTACACTCCGACCATCATTAATCTTCCACGCAGACCCTTTCGCAATTATATCTCTGCTCCAGATAAGTGAGCGCCAACAAAAAGACGGTTTGTTGCCCAAAGGAGTTGACATCACGTCCGAGTGTCTGAAGTACTGAGCTTTAAGGACCCTTGCCAAGAGGTATTCGGGACTTTTTTATATGCTCCAGATCTTCTTCGCTAACCAAGCTTTATTGAAAGCGGAAATATGTTGAAATCTCATACGTCCGAAGCATTTAGGTTTACAAAGAGTTTCCCAACGATACCAATGCATTTTCTTTCATCCTTTGTCAGTCTTCCACCAAAAGTTAGCAAGTTCCCGCTCAATTTCTTCACATAGGGAATTAGGAATTTGGAAGCACGACGTGGCATAGGTTGGAATTGACTGAAGAACTGATTTAGCAGCACTGTTCGACCACCCTTGAAAAAATTTTTATGGCGTCAGCTTTGAATTCGATATGGAACTCTTTCTTTGAGACAACCGAATTGAGTACGCTTACTCCTTATTGAAAAGGTGGGAAGGCCCAAGTAAATCTCATGACTTTGAGCAATCTAAGTTTTTAAGATGTTTTTTACGTCAACTACCAATTCCGGTGAAGTATTCAGGCTGAAAGAAAGAGATGATTTTCCAAAGTTAATGACCTGGCCAGATGCTTGTTCGTACAAGTGCAAAAGATTTTGGAACGTGAAGGCGTCTTAGGTCTCATCTCTAAAGAAAATCAAACTGTTGCAATTCGAATACCTCGCAAACATTTATTACGTGCAGCCTCTAGAAGTAAGCGTGAAAGCCCATGAAAAACCAAGACAAACATATACGGCGACAACGAATCTCCTTGACGAATGCCGCATTGAGGAGCTAGAGATCCGAACTGTTTTGACTGAAGTTAAAAAAATAAGAGACTGACCGGACACACTTCATGATTTTACTGATCCATCTGTTTCTTAAGCTCAGTCGTCCCATAATTTCTTCTTGGAAATTCCATTCCACACGATCTTAAGCTTTACTCATGTCTAGATTAAGAGATGTGTATCCTCTTTTGCTTTGACGATGATTACAGATCCAATGCATAACTTCAAACCCCAAAATGATATTATCAGTGATCAATCTCCCTGAAATAAAAGAACTTTGAAACTCATTAATTACAGAAGGCACACGGAACCGATTAGCCAAAGTTATAGCATCAATTTTATATAGAAAATTGCAAAGACTTACCGGCCGGTAGTCTGAAATGGAGACTGGATGATCCGTTATGGGGACCAACGTTATAATAGTTCCATTCCAGGCTGTTATATATCTGCATCATTATTAAGAACTTTCAACAAGTGTTGACACACATCAGACATCTTGACCAACAATATTCTTGAACCAATATGAATGTATATACATCAACATATACATAATTATATACATTTAGTACTACCTCTTTTTATATTAGGAAATGAAAATTGCTCTTTTGTTGGTGGCACCCTATAAAGGGGCGATTGTATATGAATTCAACAGTAAAAAACTCAATTAAAACTCAAACTTAATTCTACTTTAACTCAACTTTAACCCAACTTCTCTATCCTCAATATTATCAATATAATTAAATAATATCAACAAATCATTCTTACATATCAAATCAACTTTAATTCACTATTCACCCACTCACATAGTTTTAACTAACTATCACTTCCAATCATTTTTCTCCTACTTTACATCAAATCAACTTTAATTAATTTATTTAAATATTATTTTAATATATCTACTTACAACTAACTATACCACCTTTTTACAAAAGTAACTATAGTTAAAAAATAAACCAAATAAATCTAGTCCAATCCATAAACAATCACCCCCTAAATATTCCACATTGAATCCTGGGTGATGGTAGGGTGAAAGTCATTACATGTATTGTTAGACCCCTAAGGCCATCTCCAGCCCTTATCTCTACTCTAGCGCAGACTTTACTCTATTCTAGAGTAGAGTTGAACATTCATCTCCAGCCTTTATCTCTACATTTTACTCTATATTAAATATATTATTTTTTATTATTTTTTTATTTCAAATAAATTGGTATATATGTATATTTAATCTTATATAAAATGTTAATTACTCAAATAATAAAAATATATTTTATTTATTTTTATTTAACATAATTTGCTATATATGAATATGTAATGTTATATAAATGTTTATTACCCAAATAGTAATTAGAAAAATTATGTATAACAACACGAGATGCTTCATAAATTCAAACAAATGGATACAAATTACATAATACAATGAAAATAAAAAGCATTACAAACAACAATTACAATAACATTACAACTAATTTTCTGAATTAGAAAATTCCTCCCATAAATGCTCAATCAATGCATTACGAAGGGCGATATGAGCTTCTCTATCTCGAATTTGTCTGTATCGAGCAACAAATGCTTGGAACTGAGAAGCTTCATTACCAACCGTTTCAACATCAGGGATTGGGGCTTCTATCGCAGCTTCAATCGGTGAGTTTTTTCAAGATCTTGGCGGGTCTGGAAGTGGTTTGGGAGACTACTAGAATTATTCGTGTGTTCCTTTGATTATTATGTCATCTTTAATCATGTTGTTTTTATTTGTGTGTTAAGTCATTTTTAATCATATTGTTTTTATTTATGTTCTATGATTTATGTGTGTTGTAAACTTTAATTTTAATGAAATAAACTTGTTTGAGTGTTTTAAATTTTTATTTATATGGTATCATTTAAATATTAAAAATACAAAATAAAATTATAAACATCAATAAATAAAAGCACAAATTATTTAGCATAAAAAATACATTACACAAATTATTTAGCATAAAAAATACATTTACTAATACACATTATACAAAAATAATAAAATATTTTCTTGTAGAGAAAAATAAGAAAAATATGTTTTATTTATTTTTATTTCAAATAATTTGCTATATATATGAATATTATGTAAAATAAATAAATAAAAAGCCGTTTACGTGGGACTCGCAAGGTCACGTGTGACTTCGGTTTACCGAGAATCGAGTTGGGACGTGTAGATCATTCAGGCACGATGTCATGCGGGACATTTATCGAGTATTTCGGAGTTCCGAGCATTTAATTAGAGAAGCTTGGGTTCACAAGTGAATAGTAGAAAAATGAGTTGGTGTTAAATTTTTATTCATATGGTATCATTTTAATATTAAAAAATTACAAAATGAAATTATAATACATCAATAAATAAAAAGTACAAAATTATTTAGTATAAAAAATACATTACACAAAGTTACATAATAAAAAAATATATTTATTAATACACATTATACAAAAAATTATCCTTAACAATACATTAAAATACATAAAACAAAAAAAAAAAATAAAAAAAAAATATCTAGAGTTGCTACAGTGTTGCGCCACATCTGGCGCAACACTGTAGCTATCTGTAAAGTAGCGTGACAATCTGAAGCAGCACTGGAGCTTATATTTACTCCACAAGAGAGTAGCGCTGATAATGTAGCGCAGCACTGCACTTGGTCTAAATGATGAGAAAAATCAACGAAAATAACCGTTCCAAATACAACATTTTGAAATAAATTATTAAAAAATAATGAATGTAATCTTCTCTCATTCATTGAAATGGAGACCTATTTTAATTTTTTACATGCCACTTCATCAAGCCTAATTTTATAATTTTATTTTTAATATATGTGCGTAAAGAGTTTTTTTTTTTTCTTTTTTTTTTTCTACATTGTAAAAAATTCTATGTAGCACTACATCAATAATATTGAGGATAATATTTTTAGTTTGTTTTTTCTTTTCCGCACTAAAATAGTACAAAAAATTAGTCAAAAATGTAGAGAAATGCTATGGTTTCGGTACCATCTCGTCGGGTTTTTTAACTGTTTGATACAAATAGCGGGATGGTACCGTAACGCGAGGATAAATTTATGTATCAAACAGTTAAAACACCTGACGGGATGATATCGTACAACTTCGGATAACATTTCTCCAAAATATAAGCCCTTTTTCTACCTTCAAATTTTAATGCGAAAAAGGTCTTTATATTCTTTAGTGACAACGAGGAATGGAACGGTCCCTTCAAATTATAGTGCACCGTCTTTCCTTCTCACTCCCCCACCGCAGTCCCTACGCACATCAAAACAATAGCTCCGAAGAAAAAAAAAAAAAAA